CCCCACCACCCCAGCTGCTCTACCCCAGGTGTCCACAACAAAAGCCTGGTCTCCGGAGCAAAGCCTTTGGAGGCGGGGACCCCGCCGCCTCTGCGGCTTTGCTCCAGGTGTCCCTGGTCTGCTCGGGGTGTCCATGGTCTGCTGGGGACCTCCCCAGCAGACCAGGGACACCCGGAGCAGCTTTTCTCGCCCCGGAGGACGCGGTGGCGGGACCACTGCGCGTCTGGGTGGTCCCGCCGCCCGCGAGTTCCAGGGCGAGAAAAGCCCCGTTCGTAAGTGCGGATCCGACATAAGTCAGATCCGCATAACTCGGGGACTGCCTGTATTCTTAATATTATCTCATATCACCTGCATACTTCTAAACTGAGAACCCGGAGCAGCTTTTCTCGCCCCGGAGGACGCGGTGGCGGGACCACTGCGCGTCTGGGTGGTCCCGCCGCCCGCGAGTTCCAGGGCGAGAAAAGCCCCGTTCGTAAGTGCGGATCCGACATAAGTCAGATCCGCATAACTCGGGGACTGCCTGTATTCTTAATATTATCTCATATCACCTGCATACTTCTAAACTGAGATAAAGGCAAACACAATTATCTTGCGTATGCTATAAGGCTCTTACTGGCTTACATAAGGAACATTCATTAAGAGAAGTAGTCCCCAAAGTGCATAAGGAATGGAAAAAACAAGACACTGTCCTCAGATGGATGAGTGGATTGCTGCCATTCCAACACTGCCAGCTAATATTTGTCTTTTAGACACTTCAGATGAATGGGTGTTCAGCTCACCTACCCTTGTTGATTGTTATAAATGAAAATTACTTCAGCCTGGCTCTGACTAACTTCTATAGCGCTTTTTTTTTTTAGGGCTTCCTCTGCAAGCCAACTTCTCTTTTTTATAGGATGGCCTGTGACAGAGCCAAGATTCAATGCTCCAGTCAGAAATAATCTCTCACAAATGAAGCACTTAATTACATCAATGTCTTAACACTTGCAGAACTAAGTTCTTTAAAAATATCTAAAACATTTTGTTCTGTACTAAATGACATGAAAAGTCATTCCTCTAGATCAAAATGGATACATACCAACTAAAGTTATTTAGCAGAATAGCAGCTAAACAACTGTACGGTTCATAAGGTGAAATCTACTTTGTCTCTCCCTCTCCTCCCCCCCGCAATATTACAAAAAGCAAATGAATTATTCAAGAATAAGCTAAAATCTGACTTTTATTACACTAACACTTTCTGGATCTTATTAAGAGAGTCTTTGGAATCCCAAGTTGAGCCCTCCTGGGATCTGTGGTGAGCTCATATTAGATTAGCACAGGCACCACTTTTAAACATTACCAGAGCTCTATGCTGTGCATTCTTTTGCACCCTACCACTTTGCAACCCCTTTCTCTCATAACACAATTAATTCTTAGGAAGGATCTCTAAAAATAAAATGGAGTAAAATTAATGACACAATGATCTTTCCACCCTCTTCTCATGAATGTGAAACATACAGAAACTGTCAAAGAACCAAATGAAATGTATCAAATTGTACAAGTGCTATAGTTAAAGTATTAAAAGCCTAAAGACAAATATAATAATGCCACATGGTGTGCTTTACAAAGCAGGCTGTATCATTAACAGTTTAGAGATGGGGCAACTGAGGCTTAGAGAGCAGATACAACTTGCACAAGATTACCCAGCTTGTGAGTGGCAGAGCTGGGACCAGAATCTATTGCTTCTGATAGCCAGTTAAGTGTTCTATCTATAGGACGATATTACCACAAAAGAGAAGCCAGTTGGCTGTGCAGCATAATTGCGATAGAGAGATCTTTCCATCCCACCATAGTTCAGCGATGTGTATCACAATTTCTCTTAGGAAGGGGTGGGAAATAATTTTTGATGTGGGGCCACTACAAAATTTTGGTAAGTGGTCAAGAGCTGCACTTTTCTATGGAGGAGCTGCAAGATCCGGGACAGAGGTTGGGTGCAGAAGGGAGTTCAAGGTAGGGCACTGGGGTGCAGGAGAGGATGTGGGGTCTGAGAGGGAGTTTGGGTGAAAAAGGGGGTTCTGACCTAGGGCAGAGGTTTGGGGTGCAGAGTCAGGTAAGAGATATGGGTGCAGGAGAGGATTCTAGCCTGGGGAGGAGTGTAGGGGGAAGGTCAGGGGGAAGGGAGAGTTGTGACCTGTGACAGACGGGGGGGACGGGGCAAGGAATTTGAGTAGTGACCTGGGGTAGGGGACTAGTGTGCAGGGTCCAGGACAGGGTTGAGGAATCTCAGGCCCAGAGGCCAGAGGTTGTCTGGATCTGACCCCTGAAGCTTTGAGTTCTCCCCAGCATTAGGGTGCACTTGCTGGTGCTCCAGTCCCCTCCGCTGCCGCACCCGTGGGGTTGGAGCACAAAATAATCCACTAGCCTGGGCCTCCCGTAGGCTCTGGTGAGTGAAGGGAATGTGGGGAGTGTCTCCATTTCGGTTGGGGGCCAAGTCAGTGAAGGTGTCTGAGGTTTGTCTGGTTTTTTTTTTTGTTTTTTTTTTGCTTCTCACTAGGGATGTAAGCATGCAGTCCATTAATTGACAAACCTAGGCTTATTGGTTAGTTGAGTCGACTACTCAACTATTCGCATTCCCCCTGCTTTGCTGCGGTGTTGTGTCATCCCTCCACCCCCTGCGCCGCTGCCTCTATCAGAGGTAGCACCGCATCGGGGCAGGGGAGGCTGTGGCGAAGCAGCCTCTGCCCACAGGAGGCCCAGGTTCACCACAAGCAGAGGCTGCTCCGGCAATAGCCCCTTTCCATGGGGGAGGGGTGCCAGCTCCCCGCTGGGACCCTGTGAGACGAGGGCTGCTGATTGACCCGGGCTTGCTCAGTTCTGGCTCGCACTGGGTTGGGACCTACTCCCACTGCAGCTCTGCAGTTTAAATGTAGTAGCAGCTGGGCTGCCTGCCTGTCCGGCTCTTACTACATTTAAACTGCAGAGCCACAGTAGGGATTAACTTCCCTGATCAACTAGTGTAATCGATAGAATTTCTATCGACTTCGCAATTAGTGAATTACCCACCACTTAACATCCCTACTTCTCACTTGTGTGAAGCCCTCAAGTGATTTTTCCTGTGTGTTAGCAGCCCCGTGATCCAAAAAAGGTTCCCTACCCTTTGCCCAGGAGGAGTATGGGTGGAGGAGAGGATTCTGGTTTGGGAGAGGGGGCTCAGGAGTGTGCAGAGACTGGGCAGGGCCCTGAGGTGTCAGAGGCAGGCGCTAGCCAGGAGGCACTTACCTAAGCAGCTCCTGGCCAGCAGTACACTCAGGCAGGCTTACTTGCCAGCAACCCCAGACCACAGGCTGGCTGTACACGTGGCTCTCTGTTTTCCGGGGAGTGGGGGGGAGAAGCTTCATGCA